CCTGCTCAAACTGTTGCTCCACACCCTGTTTGCCCACCCTGTTCAAGCTGCTCCTGGTCACTAGGTGCTCCCCAGGGGCTTCTTTATTAGGTGTGGGGCTTGGCTGCTGTTGCTCCTGGCCCCACACAGATCTCCTCAGCCACTCCTGCATGAGCTGCAGATTCCTGGTAAGTCTTTCTGCTCCCCTGAGGTTCCCACAGTTCAGGACCCTCCCCTTCTGCACCATGCTGAGGGCTCCATGCCAGTACTGGAGCTGCTGGTCTGAATGACTCAGCTTGTCTTGACTCAGGTCCCACAGACCCAGTACAGGGAGAAAAAGGGTCACTTGACCACTGTGCAGACCCAAATCTGGAGTGCTGTGAGCAGTGCTGCTCTCTGCACTACAAGGACAGAGAAGATACAGGGAAGAGTAACTAAAATCACCAAGAGAAAGGCACAGTTGCCACATGAACAAAGATGGAAGAACCCAGGAACGCTCAGGCTGGAGAGAATGCACCTCCAGAGGGATCAGGTTCAGGTTTACAGAGCCACAGGAGTGCAGATGGGCAGGATGTAGAGCCATTGCTCAATAACAGTTAAGAGAAGTGACATGTGGAAACCAGAAAGAGCTCAGTTCCACGTGGAAGAGAGTACTTCTCTGTAGGTGGCTGGCAGTGAATTTCTGGAGCTGCTGCTACAGCAAACTGTGGCATCACCAAGTTCTAAGTGCAATCAGATCCACAGAGCTTGGGTCCAAAAAACAAAGAATAAAAGACTGAGAGGCAGAGGTGCACACTTTAGTACCCTGAAACCACGGGGAGAGGGAGGGAGCTTGAGGGGAATTCAGTGCAGGTACAGGCCAGGTTCACCTGCTCTCCCTGCACAATGTTGGTATTGCCACCATTAGAGGCAGAAGATGGGGTTGGTGCACTTGGAGCAGCTTGGCAGCACACAGGGGGATCCTCCAGTTGCTCCTTTTGTAGCAATGAGTTGGACTATGTTGTTAAGGTGGAGCTGAGAAAGGAGTAAGTGGAAGAGAAAAGGAACAAAGTTCTTCAGTAGAACACAAGAGAGCTTTATGCTTTGGAGTTTCCAAGCAATCCTCTGCCTCCCTTAAAACAGGGCTTAAATACATTCATCTCTCCATATCGCAAGATATTTAGTTCCCAAATCTAACCAAGGACTGAACACAGAGAAAGCATCACTATTTCATGAGGCACTTCATGAAAAAAAGATCATTTTTGAGGAAGGATGGAGGGAAAATCTGAGAAAAATATTCAGAAAGTTCCTTTCCCAATAGATACATATTAGCATATTAGTTTATTTGCAAATTAACCTTAAACCTGTCTAGATGGCATCACAACTGCAATAACTTGCACAGCTACCAACACCATGCAGAAAAAGCAGGTTCACAGCCTGAGGCCAGTAACAAGATAGACACAAGATGGTAAGGCAGAAAGTCATTGGCTGCTTTGGTCTCTGCTGAGTTAGGAATGTGGTAACTAAACAAGAAAAAGGTCATCTACAAAAATAGGCCAACTAATTGCCTATTTTCATCTATTAATCTTTTCCAAGGTTTTGTCTTAGGAGTCTTTACATTAAATATCAAGGGTCCTAAACTTCTAGTTTCTACAGTTCCCTGAAAATGTCAATGGCTAATAAAATCACCACACATTTCATTACTAATGAGACTTTTGGTTTGACATAAATTTTGGGGTACTCCTGTAACAGTCTGTCCTGTTGGGCAGTCATTCACAGAATCACAGAATGGCAGGGGCTGGAAAGGACCTCTGGAGATCATAGAGTCCAACTCCTCTGCTAGAGCAGCACCACCACAGAATCTAAGGTAGGTCACACAGAAACACATCCAGACAGGTCTTTAAAGTCTGCAGAGAACCTCTCTGGCCAGCCTGTCCCAGGGCTCTGTCACCCTCACAGGAAAGAAGTTCTTCCTCATGCTGAGGTGGAACTTCCTGTGCTCTGCTTTGCATCCACTGCTCTTCATCCTATCACAGGGCACCACTGAAAAGAGACTGACCCCTCCTTCTTGACACCCACTCTTCAGATATCTGTAAACATTAATAAGATGCCCTCTCAGTCTTCTCTTCTCCAGACTCAGCTGCCCCAGGTCTCTCAGCCTTTCCTCATATGACAGATATTTCAGTCCCTTAATCATCCTTGTAGCCTCCATTGGACTCTCTAGTAAACCCCTGTCCCTCTTGAACTGGGAAGCCCAGAACTGGACACAATACTCCAGGTGGGGTCTCACTAGGGCAGAGTAGAGGGGTAGAAGAACCTCCCTCAGCCTGCTGGACACACTCTTCTTGATGCCCCTCAGGATAACACTGGCCTTCTTGGACACACTGAAGAATCAATATTTGTCTTTGGAATCAACCTTTCACACCAGTAGGTGTGCAGTAAGGAAGCTGACCACTGACAGCTCGTGAGAGCTTCAAACAAACTAAGCTTTAGCAGAGAACTGCCCAACAGGTAAAAACAGTCCAAAGGTCTCTCACCTGATTTTTAACTCTTATCATACAAGTAATCTCAGAGCAATCTTGAAGATGAATCTTTTGAGGTGTACTTGTCAAGTCTCTGGTGTTCCAAATATACAGGTCACTGCTCCCTGAATAAGATGCCCACACTTGGTCTCTCTAAAACACAGAAAGATGTTTCACATCAGCACTGCTGACAGGAGGCATCTTGTGATAAGTAACTAGAGCTTGTAATGCCTCATATTCATGTTCCATTTAAACTCTTCAGAGTTTAATGCAATACCTCAGGAAAGAGCTGGAAGCTGAGAAAACAGGAAGGCAGATCCTTCAGGTGATGCTCAATTTTCATCTGTAGTTGAAATTCATAAGTAGACACTACAAGGATGCAGCTTCTAGTACCTTCAAGAAGAGACAAAGGGTTAGTAACAGGAATTCCTGCTTCCTCCATCTCCATAAACCATGGAAATAACAGGGAAAATAAAATGGATGCATCTAACAACTGTCTAGTTTCTCAAAAGTGAAATCTTTGAGGCTCTTCCTGTTTTTGACAGTATCTGTTTTTTAGATTTGCTCTTTCTCCAGTTGCTAGTCACTATTCTGCAGAGCCCACAATGGTCAGAGTCCAAAAATGATCAAAGGAAAGGAAACAAACTCCTTAAAATGAGGATCTCTCAGACTTCAATTTCTTAAGTACACATTCATTCTCATCTCCACGACTGAACCAAGTGTCTGTACTACAGTTAACAGGGCTGAGTCCTTCCCCACCACAGCAGCTCCAGGAATTTCCCCAGCCTTTAGCTGCTGTTGTGTAAGATCTGTTTGGATCCAGGCTCTTGTGGATGGCAGTGCAAAGAATCAGGGCAAAATTATTGAACTGGTCACCACTTGTGAAGTGACTCAAGATGATCTTTTACTCTAGCACAAAGCTTTACTTTATTCATCTAAATTCCCACAGAGGGTATGGCATTTCATCCAAAATGTAAGTCTGGGAATCACCAAGCCAGACCAATGATATTCTTTTTAAATTTTTTTTGATGAAAGAACTTACAGCACCACAGTTGGTCTTTATGAAGCTTGATGGAGGTGAGATTTTGGCAGGGCAGCTGACAGACACGGTTCACTTTCAGAGTGCTGATGTTCCAAGCAATCACTGTTCCATCTAAACTGCTTGAGTAGGCTTCACTGTTGGTACAGATTTAACCAAAAAAAAAATCACCACAGTAGAGTGTACATTCATGTTCAGAACAGAACACACACACAGAAGAGACTTTCTTGCAAAATAACCAACTTTACAGCAAGGCAACGTAATGATCTTTATTTCAGAGACTGGCAGAACAAAGCACAGTAACAATTCTATGATTTCCAACCTAAAATGGACTGAAGTCTAAAAGGCTTCAAGGCCTTTACTGCCATTAAGTACCATAATTATTTTAATAGTGAACAATTAGACCTGTTCAATTCTACTAAATAAAGTGGCTAGAGTCTTGAGTGGACAGGAGCATGCTCAGCCTGTGCCTACTGAGATGCCCAGTGAAGGATGTAAACTTTTTCCTTCCCTCAGTAGATTCTAGGTAGCTGGCTCTGACAGCTGGAGGTGCACTGAAGCAACCAGTAGCTCTGGGATGCAGCCAGGCATCCACTTTCCAAAGCTGCTTATGTCTCCTGTTGCAACAGAAGTGTTCCAGTACAGATATTGTTTTCTTCTCAAGATTCCAGTGATACCAACCCTGTATCATTGGAAACACTGAGGGCTGATGCTGAGCTCTAAGTGAACAACACGTGTTACATCAGGCATGAGGAGTTAAAGGCAACAAAAATGTTCCCCTATAATTCTGCTGAACATCCTTCATCCTTGCCTGTTTGATTTTCTCTTAAGCTAGGGCAAAATTATCTTCAAAACTGGTTTTCTTTGCTACTGCACCTGAGAAAACAAATTTTACAATTTTAATATTTTTTTTTTACCTTGAACCCAGGGAGGTTGTTAAACTCCATCCCTGGAGGTTTTTAAGGCCAGACTGGATGAGGCCTGTGCAGCCTGGTCTCATGGGTGGTGTCCCTGCTCATAGCAGGAAGGTTGGAACCTGATGGTCTTTAAGGTTCCTTCCAAGCTTAACAATTCCATTATTCTATGAACATCTGTTGTCTTCAGAAGAGAAAACCTTCTTCAGAATGTTCCAAACTACCTAGGAAAATTCTCCCTGAAACCCAGCTAGCAGAGCTACAGCTGATGTGTGGTCTGGACTGGGAGCTGCTGCCTCCATGGGAAGACAGCAAGTGAAGGTCTCCAGCCAACACTCTCCCCACTGGTACCACAAGAACAAAAAAGCAAGGACAAAACAATAAATGCATTATTTCTTCTACAAACAGGCAGGAAAAATCCAGAAGCCTGCTGCAAACATCGAGTTGATGATGGGCTCAAAGCAAAAATGAAATGGTCTTCAAACTGCATCTGTGTTGATTCATCGCCGGATGCTGCCAATTCCTGGCTGCTCTCATCCTTGTCCAAAAAAGCATTCCTTTATCCTCTTTGTTCCAAAAGCACATCATACTCTCTCTTTAAAAAGGAAATTCTTAGCTTACCATATACAATATGGGAGCTACAAAAGCAGGCTAAAGGAAGGTTTATGCTAGCAGGATGAACCCCCTTGTCTAAAACAATCAATTATTTCCAACACCTAAGAAAATCAGTCCCTAGTTTCCTACACAGGCTCCGTTTCCTTGAGCAGAAGTGAACTTTTTGCCTGTTTCACTCAAGCAATTAAAGCACAATACTACATCATTTGGATCTGTAACTGGTCCTCTGCTCATTGCAGGCCAAATTCTTTAGGCTGGGGAATACTGCTCTAGCTACAGGAAGATTCCCCACATATCTCTGACTCTCCCAGTGGCACAGACATCCTTCAAATTTGCTTGTATATCTGTTTTTTAAAAGAAATCATTAAATGTACCTGGGTATTCCATTCTTCTTCTCCACAATGATGTCTGTAATATCAGACCGATGATCATTTAGCTGCTTATTACATGACATGCTGTGGGTGTTGATTATATAAATAATGGAGTCTTGAGAACCAATCCACACTTGACTCTGTTCTACCATTATCATACATGTCTATGGAGAAAAAGCAGGATTAAATAAAATCTGGAAGAAAAAAAGATCACTCTTTAATGTCACATGGAAAAAGACTGCATTCAGATGCTGCAGTTTTCTGGGGATTACAGTAAGAGACTAAGATTTGGAGCTCCAGTATCCTCTCCTTTGCTCTGCTCTAGAAATAATTGGAGAGGACAGATCTGAGTTGAGTTTATCCTTCAGTAAACAGGATTAATAATGTATCTTGGTAACTGACTCAAAGCTGTGTTTCCTGGTTCAAGCAAAGGCACAGTTAGAAAGGGCATGAGGGGGAAACCACAAGAAGTTGGTGTATTTCTTTCTTCTGAATCGGAAGCCATCCTAACCTCTGATATAAATGTACTTCCTGCTTCAGTTACTTGCTGCTTCAGTTAGAAGTGGTGTCTAAAAAAATACTGTTGTCTTTTCTACTGTTTCTGGAATGTCCTTCTCCCATTCAGAAGCTCCTTATTTCTCTCCCTCCTGAGTCCTATCAGTTCCAAATTTTCCTCCTCTCTTTTTTTTTTCTTGTTTTGAATAGATCAGTCTCCAACCCTTCTGGATTTCCATTTTTCCAAGTTAACTGAAGCCCAAACAAGTGTCTTTCTATAACTTTTAAGAAATTACCACTGGTCTGGGGTCATACAGACTACAGCAAAACAAACCCAAACCCCATGAAGCTAAAGCAGCAGTGATGACACATGGGACAATCTTACCAGTTTACAGCAGCCCATTCTGAAGCAGTGTTGTTGGATAGACCAGGTAGATGCATCAAAAACCACCACTTTCCCCTCATTTAAAGCACACCACAGTTTTGGATGAGCGTTGCCAGGTCTTTCTGAAGGGTCAAGATGACCTAAAAAATTATTAGAAAAGATGAGAGAGGTAAAAGAAAAGCAACTTTTGGAGACATGTGGAAAAACCATTATTAGGCAGAGTAGCTTTCTAACAAAAGCATTTGCGTTCTGGAACTTAAACCTCCTGAATGACAGAATTTTCACCATCATTTTGTGCTCGTTCCCATCTATTTTTTGTGCTCACCTGATGGTTTAATCTTACACTTCAAAGTTATTAAGAGCAGAGATCATATTTTTCATCAACCACTAAGTGCTTTGCCAACTGGGATTTCAGAAAGGCTTTTAAGCCCTGTGAAATATAACTAATAAATCCACTCATTCCATTTGCTCCACTAGAGCTCCACTTAAAAGCAGCATAGCACAAAAAAAAGAAGAGCACCTCCAAACCCTCCACCACCCCACCCAGCATTGCTCTTCCACTTTAAGTTTAGAATTCCATCAACTTTCCCCTTTTATCTCACACTGCACAAATACTAGGAATTGCATAAGATTTTACATCAAAGGGTTACAAAGTTAAGAGTTAGGAACATCCAGGATTAACATCTCTGCTTCCTAAGTACATGTTCATTGCACACAGTCCTTCATTTTTTTATATTCTTTTTCTGCAGTGATTCTGAATTAGTCTGATATAAAAGTATTCCAGAAGAGCTCACAAAGAATTGACAGTGCTTTCTTCAGAGATGGATTTAGATCATGTGTGATGAAGAGGACATTAGATCACACACTATATGCAGTGAGAGTCACAGCAACAGAGGCCTGACTGGGACTTCAAGAGCTGCTACATGATCCCCTGCACCGTGGTTCAACCAAACAACCCCCCCCACACACATCCCTGTATGACTTATTGAAAAAAAACTAAGAACAGCAATAAATATTGATCAGGGGTGGAGCATCATTCACCCAACCATGCTCAATAAATGAAGCAGAAGTCTGAATGGGAAACTGGCACATGAGCACATGATTGAAGTCTGTTATAAGGCACATACACAGGAAGACAAATTAAAGACCATGAAAGCTGTGCCCTGCAGTATCTTAATATGCAATATTACTGGGGTTTTTTTAATGACTTTCTGGGTTAGTATTCAACACTCAACCAAAACATGTCACCATGTGAACAAAACCAAGCAGCCATAATACCTGGTGTTATGAGATAGCACACTTAATAGGCTAATTAAAGCTGGGCTGACATAAAGAAAGCAACACATCAGCTTACCTGGCGTGTAAAGCAAGACATCTATTGCCTGTGGAAATGTCTCACCAGCTGAGGGGTTGATCTTGTGCTTCAATGTCTCTGAAGTTGTTTTGGGGACCATCATAGGTACTAAAATACATTTTTAAAAGGTCATTAAGTACACACTTAAGCCTGAAATAGATCTATCGTCCCTATGAAATAATAACTGTGCACCATTTATTCACATTTCTCTTTTCTTTCCCTCTAGCCTCAGCTCACTAGGGTAGTCCAAACACCATTTGTATGAACTCTGGTAGCAGAAGCTGCCTCCCACACCCAAGAGACTAAACAAGCAGAACAAAAATCCAGCAGCCAGCATGGACACAGACACATCAACTAAGATTTTGATGTACAGAAGAAAAAAAAATAATATCTATTTTTACAGATAATCACTTTGAAAACAAGACTATAAACAGAAAAAGCCAAGGCTGATGATGCAACAACAGCAGGCTTTGTAGCATTGCTATGTGACTGACCTTCATTTTTCATCCTGTCAAAATAAGACAGTTTAGAGGCTGCATAAATGGCTTTGGAGGACTGCAGGGCACCAACCACAGCATCCATCAGGAGAACATTTGTCAGGGCTTGCTGAATATACTGAGGATCCTAAAGACAAAAGTCTTACTGTAGTTTATCTGTTGCTCATTATTTGTGCAAGTCCCCATGTTCAACAATCACAACACATCATGCTTAGCACAAGCACCAACTTGCAGCATAATTCCTACTACTGAGGTCAAACCCCACTCCCACATCACATGTTCCCAAGCAAGGCCATGGAGCAGGGAGCCAGGAGCCAGTATTAATTCATGACACTGAAAGAGGTATTTCAGCTCTGGCACAACTTTGATAAAGGACATGGAAATGAAACCATATGAATGGAACTGATGGAAAACATGCAGCAGACACAGGATGGATACTCATTTTCAGGCTGGATCTTTCTTCACATGAGGAAGTACTCATTATGCTTCATTTTGGATAAATTATTTCAGTCCTTTCTGAAGAACCACCAAGCTACCTTTTCCCTATTCAAGTCAGCAGTCATGAAGAATCACGTGGTTTAAATAGAAACCTTGCTTAGATAATCCTTTTTCTGAGGGTTTCTGTGGCAGAACACATCCTGCTCTAGTCACTGAAAGGATCTGTAGCCATCATGGTTCCGGTACAGCAAAACTCTTTCACATATTATATTTTGAAGCAAGGTGAGGAAAACTTTCTGTTACTTAGAATCACTACTGTCATATGTTGTGAACTTAAGAAACTATTTCACAAAACTAGTGATTAAAAGTTCCATGCCAGTGGATGAGAATTTTTAAATGTAATAATCTTTTTTAGTTATTATTATGCCAGAATTATTCTGTTTAGAAGTAACAGTAAAACCTAGAGTTTATTACTCAGTTGTTGTTTGCTGAAACCTAGAAATTCAAAAACTGATGCACGAGTTACTTAGAACAGAGAAAGAAAGCACATACTTCATACTTAGTTGGTTAGAAATTCCCATGTTTATACCTTGTGATCATCTGCCATCTTCTTTCCAGCCCACATTTCTTTCACTATCAGGTACCAGAGATCACACTCAGTTTTAAGGTTAGCTTCAAAGACTTCTTTTCTAGACAATGTTTTGATCCTCAGAGTAGGTATTCTCAAAAGAAGGAAAGCTACAGTCGTGCTCTTAACATCCTGGAAATGTAGGAAAACAAAGTAAATAAGGAAGCTTCAGCATTCTTACCAAGCTGTGTGGTGTGGTTGACACCCAAGAGGGAAGGGATGCCATCCAGAGGGGCCCTGACAGGCTGGAGAGGGGGGCCAGTGCCAATCTCATGAAGTTCAACAAGGCCAAGTGCAGGGTCCTGCAACTGGGTCAGCACAACCCCAGGCACAAATACAGGCTGGGGGAAGAACGGCTGGAGAGCAGCCCTGAGGAGAAGGATGTGGGGGTGGTAGTTGATAAGAAGCTTGACAGGAGCCACCAGTGTGTGCTGGAGCCCAGAGAGCCAGTTGTGTCCTGGGCTGCATCAAAAGAAGTGAGGCCAGAAGGGCCAGGGAGGGGATTCTGCCCCTCTACTCCGCTCTGGTGAGACCTCACCTGGAATATTGTGTACAGTTCTGGGGCCCTAAACACAAGAAATACATGGAGCTGGTGGAGAGGGTCCAGAGAAGGGCCACCAAGATCAACGGGCTGGAGCAGCTCTGCTCTGGAGATAGGCTGAGAGAGTTGGGGCTGTTCAGCCTGAAGAAGAGAAGGCTCCGGGGAGACCTTAGAGCACACCCAGTGCCTGAAGGGGCTACAGGAAAGCTGGGGAGGGGCTTTTCACCAGAGAGGGCAGTGACAGGACAAGGGGGAATGGTTTTAAACTAAAAGAGGGGAGATTTAGGTTAGACATCACAAATAAATTCTTCACCATGAGGGCAATTCTTCACCAGTAAGGCACTGGGGTAGGTTGCCCAGGGAGGCTGTGGATGCCCCATCCCTGGAGGTGTTCAAGGCCAGGTTGGATGAGGCTTGTGCAGCCTGGTCTGGTGGGAGGTGTTCCTGCTCATAGCAGGGAGGTTGGAACCTGTTGATCTTTAACCTTAACCATTCTGTGATTGTAAGATTCACTCCAACCATTCCATGGTTACATGCAATCACAGGCAAGGTGCAGAACTCAGTACAGCTAATTATTTCAATTGTCCAAACAATAATGACACTTGAAGAGACACATCTCTTAGCAGAATGGAACATGCCCTAGATCCAGAAGCATGTAAAAGAACAAGAAGTTACTCAGTGCTCACCTCTATATCCCTGAAAGCAGCAATCTGGACATAGCCAGGTCCTCCTTCAGTCAACAGGAACAAACGTTTTTGGGTCAGAGCGATTTTTCCTACTCCATAGTTAGTTTTCACTGAGCAGGATAATTTGTAGACACACTCATTTTTATCTAGATGCTCTATTACTGTTGGTGGCAGATTCACCTCTTGAGCTTCTGCTTCAGTTTCTTTCCAGTAGTTGTAGAAATCCCTGAACGTTTCAGGATCGATTTGTTTCTGATGTCCTAAAAAAATTTTTAGAACTTGTTTACTGTGGCAAACAACTAAATATATTTGCACAGGAAGGTAGCTTGAAAAGATACTAAATGTTTTTTTACTGAACTGAATATTTTTCATTGTGACTTTCCAGTTCTTTATTTTATTGAATCCTAATATATCACATACTTCCCAGCCTGGGATAAAAGCTGAAGTTGAAGACTTCAGCAATAGATATTCTAACTGATTAATTATTCTAAGAGTTCAAGTGTTTGGACAGCAGAATCTCAAACAAACACAAATTTGACCAAGATGTGGCCTAGAGGGAGGTGTCCCTGATTATAGCAAGGAAATTGGTACCTGATGATCTTTAAGGTCCCTTCCAACCTTAACCAGTCTATGATTCTATGTAGGTTACCTCTGGCTTCAGAAATTCTGGCTCTTTTGACCAACATTTAATTCTCTGTGGCCACAAAATATGATGGTTACCAGAGTAACTAGGCACAGAAAAAGAATGCAATAGTATTTTAGAAAAGCACTCTCAAACTAGGCTTTAAAAAAATCAATCCCAAGATTCAGATCTCATTCAGGAGAGAAGAAATTTCTCTCAAATACAAACCTAACCTTTCCTTTTGCTGATGACCACACAAGAGGAATTTAACTGTAGCTACTTGAATTCTGGATTTTCTTAGTTTATTTTTAACAGCCTGCCACCTTGCCACGTTACCAAGTGGTTTTACAACACAGAGGTATTTTCCACTAGCAATTAGGATAGTCATGTATTTGCTTTATTCATAATCTAAGCCAAAACAGAACTGCACTCCCTTAGATCACAAACCCACCTCACCTACACAACCTGAAAAAACTGTAAATTTTGTGTCCAAATATAACTAGATTCCTTGTCTTTACTGTGGATGCAATACATCAATTAGGATAACTTTGGAGAACGGATGTAAATAAAACACACTCACATGTAGTGCATTTTTAGAAACACAGAGAATATTAAATAGTAATTAAAAACAACTGGGGACAAAAACTTCATTTTGGTTCATTAAAAAAAGTTGGAGATTGTCACTGAAGCAGTGTAGATGGTTGCTTGAAATGTATCTTGCACTCACCTACTGTTAAGGCATCAAACAACCGATGTATAGTGTCTACATCTCTCACAATCCCAGATTCCTGGATCCTCTTCACAAAACCATCCAGTTGCATGTGTGTTTTGGGGAGTTCAAAGTTTTTCACGTGGTCATCTGTTTTCACAACTTCTCTCTGCTTCTCCATCACTCGACTTATCAGCTTCTTCAGCTCAGGTTTGCGGTCGGCTTGAGAACGCTCAGAAGGGGCCATGGTTTCCACTATCTTTCTTACCAGATCAGTAGGGAAAATTCTTAAGTCTGTTTTATCCAGGTTCTGAAAGTCAGAAAGTGCATTGAGTAGTTTCCCTTGCATCAAGCTAATAAGTCCCCGGAGGTAGAAGTACCTTGCCAGCAATGCTGAGTTATCAGGTGGTAAGGTATTTATAGCTTTGCTGAGATGGTTGAAGAAGTCTGCATAGTAGGAGTGCACACACTGGAACACCAGTGGGAAGTGGATTTCTGGGATTTTGAACATAGTGACTGTTTTGGAGGGTGTTTTCACAGCTAAAAACAAACAAATGAAGAAGAACATTGATTAGCACAAGCAGTGAGTAGAAGGGTGAGTATCTTCACAACCAGCCACAGCACAGTCAACAAACAATCCCCATCAGAGCAACAAGCATGAAATTCAAGTAAAAAAAACTTGGTTTCTATAGGACTTGCTTTGTTAAACAGTGACATGTTTAAAAGCAGGGGAGGACCAGTCATGAGGTGGGTAAGGACTGATCATGTTGACTGACTCAGGAAGCAATTCTACAATATCAAGACAACAGTGACTGCTCAGTCTTTTATGGCACAGAAAAACTCACAGCACACTACAGACTGATGTAACGTGCAAGAAGCAGCACAGACAGGCCCAGCTCAAAACCACCCAGCTCACCATTTCTTCCCAGCACCTGACACTGTTACTATGAAAATCATTCAGTGGCATCTCCCGTAAAGACAACAGAAAAGACACTGTGTTCAAAATGTTCTCCCCTTACCAACACCTGGTTCTACTCTTCGAAGTGAGGAGTTTCTAGGAGGACCCTCTGGCAGCTTGATATCCTGCAGGTTGGGCATGCTGATTACCATTCGTCTGCTGACCCTGTACTGGGGATTCAGTCGTTTAGAAGCCATTTTCTCTATAGTCAGTCTTCTTGGGCTATGAAACATCAAGTTCAATCTGAAAAAAAAAAATAAATATATATATATATACACACACACACACAACTAGTTTCAAAATTCGTAAACACTAAATTATCACTTGATTTTTTTAAAATTAACAGTATTAAATGACGATTATAGTAGCAATTGACAGTTTCAACAGCCACAGCTGGACATGTTCATGTTACCCTTTTAGAATATTCTTAATAAATAGGCCTATAAGTTACTCATACTCTTATTCTGAAAAAGGGTAGATTTAGGTTAGACATCAGGAAGAAATTCTTCACCATGAGGGCAGTAAGGCACTGGCACAGGTTGCTCAGGGAGCCTGTGGAAGCCCCATCCCTGGAGGTGTTCAAGGGCAGGTTGGATGAGGCTTGTGCAGCCTGGTCTGGTGGGAGGTGTCCCTGTTCATAGCAGGGAGGTTGGAACCTGATGGTCTTTAAGGTCCCTTCCAACCTTCACCATTCTGATTCACAGATGACCTTACCTCATACCAATACCAATACAGATGGTATGAGATAAAGGACTTTTAACACAGGTATCAACAGAAGATTCAAAACCAGAAGGAAGGAGAAAACCTCACCTGTCCTCTTCAGATTGGGTACTCAACTCAAGGCGAGCGAAAGCATCCATCTTTCTGTTCAGACGAGCTTTAAGAAAAGAGTGAAACATGTAGGTCTCTAAAACCTGTGAGACACAAACTGGTTAACTGTGGATCATCTGCAAATTACATTTTTATAGCAAGATCTTTACATAGCTGAAGTAGAGAACATCCAATTTAGCAATCACAAACCCAAAAGTGGTTAAAAGCTTCAACAACAGAACCCAGTTTCCATTTGCTTTCTGTAGCTTCATGATTATTTGCTCAGTTGCAAACTGTACTCTCAGACACCAGTCAAACAAAACTGAGAAATACTGAGCAAAACAGAGTGTTTTAGCTACTGAAGTTATTTTCTGCATATCACTAAGGGATGCTAATATTGCCTGTGCTTTGGAATAAAAAGTTTATGGCACTCCAACATTATAATATCAAAGAGAAAAGATGAGTCAAGTTTTTTTCCCGGTAACCCCCTAATTTTTTTTTTTCCCTTTTAAGGCAATTAGAGAAGCTTAGAAATAATTTCTAAAACGTCTAATTGCTACTTTGGGGATAAAGTACACCATAAGAAAAGCCAGCTGTGAATTTAAAAAAGTAGAAAGATATCAGCTCCCACTATTGCAAATTAAAACAAGAGCTAGGATTTCAGGCAATACCACATAGATATTATAGAAATGTTAGTCCTAGCACAAAGCTCTTGTACTGTTTGAAGTAAACAAAACTAATCCCTTTAGAAAATCAAATGCAAACTTCATCAGGAGACAGTATTGTTATAACCAGGAATCCTGTCTTTATACAACCTCCAGCCTTTACACACCTACTAACAGAAAGACAATTGTAGATCTTTCTTATTCAAGATGCCTCTTATCAATCCATTTGCACCCTATCCTGTAAAATGACATCTACAAAAGCACTAAGATTTCTGCTTTCAAGTGTTTCTCCAGTAGATGGCATGTTTTGTTGGCAACTGTATGTGCAGGAGATGACAAGCTGCTGGAACTGGAACAGCCCTTCTTAACGATTTTTGGAGTTCTCTTACTATCATTCTAGATACCACTAGTAACTACTCTGTATTGTGTTATCTTGTATCACTTCATGAGCTTCACCAGCAGGTAAAGTAAGCTATGGTTGTAATCCTTGGTAAAGCACATGTAAAATAAATCAACTGTGTCCTGCACAGCTTGTCACACTACAAGCCCTAAGGACACCAGCACCACTCAAATTTTTAAAGTGTGAGGTGTCCCTACTCATAGCAGGGGGGTTGGAACCGGATGATCTTTAAGATCCTTTCCAACCTTAACCATTCTATGATTATATGACTTAAACACCAAATTTACCTTTTTGTAAAATGGCTGGTCTCCAATTGCCCTTGTTTTCAGAAACTCTTCACTGTTAAACACTCTGTGTTCATAATTGAGATGGTCTTTTACCTCATATATATAAATATGGTTAGAGATTTTTAAGCAAGTTACACTTTTGCAGTAGAAGCAGCCCACTGGTACTACTAGAAATAAGCTGCAGTAGCAGAAGGCAAACTCAGTTTTAATGAACACAACCGAGTTACTGAATCACAGAAAATAATGCAAACTCTTACAAATAGTAAGATGGGCTACCTGCTGCTACTGCACTGAGGCATATTTTTAGTATATGCACAGAGGCCCTAAGCTATCTCTGGAAAACTAGATATCAATGGTTACTTATGTGCCCCAAAAGAGAGCCAGAAAAAGTTGTTTCAGGACAATAAAATGGTATTATTTAAGAAAAAAAACCAAACAACTGTTCTCTGAAGTCTGTGTGTATGAGATCATAAATTATTTAAGCTAAATGTGTGCAAGCAGTTAAAATCAGGGGTCCTTTTGGAGTGTTATTTCATCTACTCATGCTGGGTATTGAGGAATAAGAAAATAATTCCATGAAAATACAGGAATGAAGAAAATCATTTGGTGAGCTAAAATTTGATTGTAAGCAGAAAAAGGGAATTTGATATCCATGCAGAGAACTGACAGGTTTATATACTGCTTGCCTCTTATATGTCAGTGATAAAAGCCCATTTTCAGTTTATCAAATCATAGAGGTTCAGAAAAAAGATGGTTAATCAAAATATATTGTTTTATACTGTTCTACATCTTTTAGCATTGTTTGCTTTAAAAATGGAACCTCCCCACACAGAAAACTACAGTGCTTCACTGAAGACAGTAGCAACAATTGCATCAGAGATTTACTTTCCTTCACTCCTGGACACTGGTAGATACAGCACTAGAAGACAGAAGGAACAAGGCTGAAAAAAAAAGAAAGAAAGTTTGAAGGAAAGGAGAAAGAAAGCAAGAAAAGAATAAATCTTTCTGCAAGACATATTATCTCTTAGAGAGCAAAGCATCTGTTCATTTTTTGTGGCCAAGTGTTTAGTGTGTTAAAGAGTTCAAGCTGTCAGCAGGA